AGAGAATAAGCAGAAGCTAGAGTGGCCTTTGCTGTATGTTTTGGACTACAAACATTTTACTTGTTTTTATAGCCAACCTTTTCCTCCAAGGAGCCCTCCCTCTCTGTGTATTTTCCTCACAGCAACCCTGTGAGGTAGATTAGGCTGAGAGTGAGTGATCGGTCCAAAGTTACCCAGTCACCTTCATGGCTGCATGGGGATTTGAACCCAGGTCTCCCAGGTCCTAGTCCAACACTGTAACTGCTACAGCACCCTAGCTCTCAATACCCATCAGCCCCTGCCAGTACAGCACTGAATGAATGAATTATTTCGGTCACAGACCAGTTCCAACCCACATACAATATCAAGGAAGCCATAAAACACGATAGGGATACATTTGAATTTTCAATTGGGTATAACAGGGACAATACAAATATAGCAACAGTTTAAAAATATATAAATTAAAACTTAGTCACTAAAATATAACCTAAAATTATCATTTAAGGCCTTAATCATTATGATAGCACAGCTTGGCCAGTACAGCATTGCTCTTGGAGCTGATGAAAGATGCAGTCCGTAATATCTTCTGGAGGGCAAGTCTGAGCTAGAAAATAAACATTTTGAAAGCAAGCAACGGGAGGCGAAATTGCACGAGAAAAGGAAGACAGTTGACGGGTGCAGAGCAGTCAACAGCAGACAGGTGCAATTGTGCAATCGTATTTGCCTGCAGAAGAACCATTAAGCCGGGAGGTGGTATCCTAAGCAGCAGCAAGAGGCAAGACTGACGGGACACAGCCCCCTGCAGAGGTTTAATCTGTCTCACAGGTAGCTCCTGCATATTTCTCCAGGTAGCCGACCGCTGTCAGGCTGAGGCAGAGCAGCTTGGCTGATCTGGGCTGGCAACTCTTGCATTAATCGCCAGCTCTTCTCAGAAGGAACCATGTCAGTGGAACAGCGCCCGAGAGTCGCTGGCCTTGCTTCAACGAGACTTTTCATCTAGCACACAACCATTTTGAGGCTAACCGCCTTTGACATTCGGTCTTCCGCTTCGTCATATGGATCAGTTTTGGGGGAGGGCAGGCGAAAGCAGCCAGCTTGCCTTTGCAAATCTCACACAGCGGCAGAGCGCAAGGGCCCCTGTGGTGTGAAGACAGCCCCTTTGGCTGGGCGGCCTGAAACACACACACACACACACACACACACACACAGTGACAGGACATGCTCCATGGGACTGGAAGGGTGGAAGGCTGGGAGACCAACAGTAGGCGGAGCCAGTCAACAAGAGGCGGAGCCAACCAACTCTAGTATTGTCCCCTGCCCTCCTGAGATGCAAAAGGACAAGACTCAGATGGGGGGGCAGGTAAGACAGGCAGGTGGCAGAATGAGGCTGGTGCAGTGATTTAGCAGACAAAAACTTTTACTACACCTGCAGCCTCCCAGCTCCTTGCCTCTTTCCCCACCCTTTTTAAAATACTATGGCAGGCAGGGCCCTTCTGGTATTTATTACTGTTATTACTACTACTACTACTACTACTACTACTACTATTATTATTACTATTATTAGTCGTTTTATCTTGCCCAAAGCAACTCAGAGCGACTTACAATAACAAAAATCTAGCCAACTTGCGTTGCATGAAGTAACCCATGGTACATTTTAGGTGTACGGTCGTACCTTGGTTCTCGAACAGAATCCGTTCCGGAAGTCTGTTCAACTTCCGAAAATGTTTGAAAACCAAGGTGCAGCTTCCAATTGGCTGCAGGAGCTTCCTGCACTCAATCGGAAGCCACAGAAGCAGAGTCGGACGTTCAAGTTCCAAAGAACGTTTGCAAACCGGAACACTCACTTCCAAGTTTACGGCGTTTGGGAGCCAAAATGTATGAGGACCAAGGCGTTTAAGAACCAAGGTACAACTGTATATTTCAGCGTACCAGGAGAGGCCTGCTCATGCTCACAGGGGTCTTATTTGTAATGTAAAGTTTAGCAGAGTATAATATCCCAGAGTTCCTTCCCACCCAGTTTCCTATCGCAGGTGGTCTCATTGCATTCAGATACCACAGTAGCATTTTTTGTTTGTTTTACAGATTGGTTATTGACCTCATCTTTTAACAGAAAGAGCAACAACATTCCTGCAAAGAGATGCTTTCTGCTGAAGTACATTAGCACTCCTCTGGCTAAGCTTGGACACTCTTAAATCAGGATTGGAAATATCTATCCAGTTTGGTTCTTTGAGTTTCACATTTTCTCCCCAATCTTAAATGCTGTTCTCTAAATGTTGTGGCAATTTGCAATGATAATAATAACAAAAACGTTCATGAAAACTTGGAAGCATTTTAGTGCAAATTTCTCCGAATAAATTATTCATGCAGTTTTTACTAATGTACACATTTCCAGCCGCAATTTTCTCAAATGCAACGTGTTTGTGTATGTTATTTTGACCAATACCTCCATTTTTATACACATATCTTCCTTGATGCATGCATTTTTACAAACAAAACTAGAGAATTGCATTGCAAAATTCAGGTAAGTGCAAATTTCAACATACAGCTGTGTTTCAGTTTGCATATTATTTGGGAAAGCTTGGCTTTGATCCGATTTGGCTTTCAGTGTATACTGACTCAAATTCCCCCTCCACCCCTACTCCTCACCTTTAATGGAGGATAAGGACTACTCCCATCTCAATTTTCATAAGACTATCAACGGCTACTCCTAACTCACCTCGAATTTTGTATTTACATCTCACCATTTCCTCCAAGGTGCTCAAGGTGGCGTACAAGGTTCTCCCCATCCTCATTTAATCCCCGTGGCAACCTTGCGAGGAAGGTTAGGCTGAGAGGCAGTGACTGGCCCAAGGTCACCCAGTGAGCTTCATGGCCAAGTGGGGATTTGAACCCTGGTCACTCGGGTCCTAGTCTGACACTCTAAGCAATACCCCCACACTGACTCTCACCTTTCACAGAGGATAAGGCTACTCCTGACTCACCTTTCATAAGACTATCAATGGCTACCAGTCAAGCTGGCTGCGTGCTACCTCCAGGATCAGGTGCAGCCTGCCTCTGGATGCTGGTCGCTGGGGAAGAACAGCTGAAAAGGGGTGTCAGGAACGTGCCCTGCTAGCGGGCTTCTCGGAGGCATCTGATTGGCTGCTGTGGGAAACAGGATGCTGGAAGAGATGGGGCCTTTCTGACGGCCTCACTTTGCTCCCTTTTCAAGGCAATACAATCTACCCCTCATCAGCCACTGATACAAGTCATTCATTCTTTAGCAGATAACTAATACTCTCTTTCTCTCAAAGCAATCTGAGAACAAGCCCACGTGCCCGCTATTGTTATAGTTCAATGGCTGCAAGTTCTCTTTCCATATTGCCTCCCGCACTCATTCACAAAGCCTGCCCAACGCTGACCCCCAGGCAACTTTATGACTAGAATTCTAGGGTGTTCTGTACGACCGGAACAATTTCCAGAGGGGCAGCCACGTTAGTAGCACTGCAGAATAACAAAGAGCCATGTACCAACTTTAAAGGGCTAGCTAATTTATTAAAGGGACGCGGGTGGCGCTGTGGTCTAAACCACAGAGCCTAGGGCCTGCCGATCAGAAGGTCGGCGGTTCAAATCCCCGCAACGGGGTGAGCTCCCGTTGCTCAGTCCCTGCTCCTGCCCACCTAGCAGTTCGAAAGCATGTCAAAGTGCAAGTAGATAAATAGGTACCGCTCTGGCGGGAAGGTAAACGCTGTTTCTGTGCGCTGCTCTGGTTCTCCAGAAGCGGCTTAGTCATGCTGGCCACATGACCCGGAAGCTGTACGCCGCAACCCCAGAGTCGTCCGTTAGTGGACCTAAAGGTCAGGGGTCCCTTTACCCCTTTACCTTTAATTTATTGAAGGATAAAGCCAGCCTTCCCCAACATCGGTGCCTTCCAGATGTTTTGGACCACAGTTCCCATCAGTCCTGGCCAGCACAGCCGGTTTTGGACTACAACTTCCATCATCCACATGAGATGAGAGGAACTGTAGTTCACGACAACCCAGAGGGCACCAGGTTGGGAAGGCCGGCATAAGCATTTGTGGACATCCACTTCATCAGATGTATGACGTCTTATCATAAGTTGCAGCGTGAGGAGATACAAGCTACACATGCACAGAGGGTATTGGGGCAGGGGTGTGAGTAGGCTTGGAAAAAACTAAGCTCAGAAGGAAACAAAATGCAGAAAATATGAGATGGCTCCTAGAAACAGATAACATGGTGAGAAGCATTCTTGGGAGACCCCAGCACTGCAGAAAAAAAATACTCTTCTCAGTTAATTCTGTGGGGAAACAAACAGAGACACTCAAATAGGGTCAGAGCTCATGCAAGCCACAGGGTCAGCAGAAAACAGGAGGCGGCAGCAGCAGCATTGCTGGGATTGCAACCAGCATTAAGCTGAGAGGATAGGCGAGTGAGGTATGTCTGCAGCCGCAAAATAATTTTTTTTGTGAGGGGGTGGGGATAAGGGACAAATAACAGCACAGGAGAGGAGCAACAAGTATTGCTGCACAAATTTCCACTTGCAGCCAAACACGGATAATAATTTGCCTTACCCCCGTTCCGAATTACACAGATTTAGCCAGGTTATTTGCAGTGCGAGGTGAAGACCGCCAATCTTGAGGGGGACGAGGTAATAATCCAAGCACTGAACCGTTCATGGGTTCTGGTGCACGTGAGCACCCAGGATAGCTGTTCCACTCCTCTTTCTGGGAAGCAGTGGGAAAGGACCAGGAAACCTCCTGAAACAGACCAGGCAGGAACTCCTACTCTGGGATTCTCAGCCGGCGAGAGGACCGTTCAACACATGCAGATGCTTCGCAGCAACAGAGGCAATAAATCCCTTCTCTAAACTAATGTTGTGCTGCAGGATTAATAGAAGAAGCTGCAGATTGAACAGACAGAAAGCAGCAGCCGGGCACACTCGCCGGCAGTGATCTGGGTAGGGAAGCAGCACGATACACAGACTCACAGTTCCGATCTCAGCAGCGGGCATTTAAGAAAGAGTCTTAGCTCAGCGGTAGGGCATCGGCTTTGCAAACGAAAGGTCGCAGGTTCAATCCCTGGCATCTCCAGGTGGGGCTGGGAAAGCCTTCCTTGTCTGAACTCATGGGAGAGCTGCTGCCTGTCAGTGTAGACCAGGCATAGGCGAACTCGGCCCTCCAGATGCTTTGGGACTACAACTCCCATCACCCCTAGCTAACAGGACCAGTGGTCAGGGATGGTGGGAATTGTGGTCCCAAAACATCTGGAGGGCCAAGTTTGCCTATGCCTGGTGTAGACTATACTGATCTAGATGGACCAACAGTCTGACTCAGTATTAGGCAGCTACCTACATTCCTAAGATCTGGTCACTTGCTCATGACTTGTACAGCAGAGTTGTACACCAACAGAAACACTGTGGGGGTAGGAGGCCACTCTCATGCCCCCATCCTGAAAAGGTGCTGCAGACCTAGGAAAAGCCATGTGATTTCTCATTTATATTTTCTCTGGAGAGACAGGCAGTTGAAAGAGCAGAAGCCTGTGATTTCTGCAGAAATAGTAGTAATAATAATAATAATAATTTATTTATAATACTAAATTCTCCAGCCACTCTGGCCAGCTCCGAACAGAATATTAAAAACACAATAAAACATCAAACATTAAAAACTTCCCTAAACAGCTCCATGAAACAGAAGGACCAAGACTTTCCCTTTTCATACGAGTTGGTACTGGAGGAATGAGAGACATGGACACACACAACCCTCCCGCTCTTGCATATGGGAAGGAAAATTAATCATCATTCAAGAAACTCAGTTTGCCTTACACAAGGCTGTTCCGTTTTATCCGCCTGGCACCATAATTAGGTTCCCGTAGGAACAAAATGCCTTGCACAGAAGCTCACTGGTCCAGCAGTACAGGGAGTGTAGCAGGCAGGAGGCTAGGGAATGAAGGAGGAAGAGGAGGGAGAACAGAGGGTTCATCCTTCAAGCCGGTCACAAGGGGGCAGAGGTTGTAAAGGGCTCAGCTTGCTCTCACCTAGAGCTGTTCTTGGTCCTGCAACTCCTGACCTGACTTGCTGCCTTCTCCATGAGATCTGACATCAAACCAAAACAAGGCAACCACACACAAAATCCCTTCTTAGTGCTCACCACCAGGTTGAGTTCATATCACAAGCCTAAAGGTAAAGGTAAAGGGACCTCTGACCATTAAGTCCAGTCGTGACTGACTCTGGGGTTGCGGCGCTCATCTCGCTTTATTGGCCGAGGGAGCCGGCGTACAGCTTCCGGGTCATGTGGCCAGCATGACTAAGCCACTTCTGGCGAACCACAGCAGCGCACGGAAACGCCGTTTACCTTCCCCGCCGGAGCGGTACCGATTTATCTAATTGCACTTTGACATGCTTTTGAACTGCTAGGTTGGCAGGAGCAGGGACTGAGCAACGGGAGCTCACCCCGTTGCAGGGATTCGAACCGCTGACCTTCTGATCGGCAAGTCCTAGGCACTGTTGTTTAACCCACAGCGCCACCCGCGTCCCTCTATCACAAGCCTACTTTTTTTTTTTAAAGAAGAAAATGAGATTTGAACCCAGAACCCCCTGATGCAAGTCCAACATTCTTTTCACCACACCAGCTCTGCTTAGAATAAGGAAAGGGGCGGGGGGAGAAGGGGAAGAATACCACAACACCAACAGATGCAAAACGTGCTGGCAAATTTCACGGGCTAGTCACAGCAAATAAGAGCCGATTTCATGGGTTGTCAAGAGTTTAATAGAAAACAGCATTACAATTGTCAAGCAATGTACAGCGACCATCCCAGGTTATTCCACATCTGTTGATGCAAACCAACAGGAGAATAGCAGTATGCGCCTTTCCCTCCCCAAAAGAAACAGGCTTCCTGTTGTTAAGAAAGCAGCACTGAAAAGTCTGGGATGGGCAAATTATTAGCAGAGAGGCATATACCCAATGCCCAAGGAAGTCAGGCAGGAGTCTTACCTAGCTGTCCCTGGGGCCTGTTCCATGGAAGGTAAGACCATTCTTACCTGCGAAAGAGATTTCTATGCATATCAGCAGGTGAACACAACGTGGGAACATCAGCTCAACCTGTGGCCCCTGTGATATGCACAAACACCTTTCTTACCTGTGTGACCGACCACCAGTTGAGCTCACGTTCCCAACATGGGGCCACCATTACATGCACGGAGATAGATATTGCCTCCATCTTTTTTTGTTTAGTTTTACATTAAATGAAACTAGGCTGTATGGTGTCTCGATGGATGTGCATTTCTATCTGGAGCCCCCATAAGTCTCTACTGTGTTTCTCTTTTTTAGTTTGGGGGCAATTTCCCTGATATTCAACATCTAGCAAACGAAACAATAAAAGCCTTTTATTGATGGTTATGATCTAGGAAGAACTTCCTGACAGTAAGAGCTGTTCGACAGTGGAATTTGCTGCCAAGGAGTGTAGTGGAGTCTCCTTCTTTGGAGGTCTTTAAGCAGAGGTTTGACAACCATATGTCAGGAGTGCTCTGATGGTGTTTCCTGCTTGGCAGGGGGTTGGACTCGATGGCCCTTGTGGTCTCTTCCAACTCTATGATTCTATGATTCTATCTCCGTTTCAGAAACACCGAGGCTCTGACAATCTAGCTGATGTGTTATTGCCAGGCCTCTATTGCTCCCTTGTTTGCTGAAAATGACCTCAAAGAGATGCAGCGCAGGCCCTGTGTCCTTTTGAGAATGAACTTAGTAGTCTAACTGTATGGCCAAGAGGTGCTTGAGTGCTCTCTCTCTCTCTCTCTCTCTCTCTCTCTCACACACACACACACACACACACACACACACACAGCAACTGCCAGAACATCCTTAGGGAAGCCCCATCTTCCCCCATCCAGGAACTACATCTCTCAGCCTCCTTGACAGAGTTGGCCCCACATAAATACGCAAGCATCCACCGGCACAAATTAAACTGCTAGTTCAGAACATGGTGACATAGGAGGTACATGGTGCTTTCAGAGGAGCCGTGATCCCAATTACAGCTATTTTGGGCTGCGCAAAAGAATAATTTCCCCTCCTCTTCCCAGCAACCTCACAAGGGGAGTGAGATGACAAATTGTGCTCTATCACTGTTCCCCACCCGATGCCTCTCATATATATATATATATATATATATATATATATATATATATATATGAATTATTCAATGCAAACTTCTACAGAGGCTGGAGCAAAGAACAGGTTGTGAAACGAAACAGAATGAAGCATGCTAGCCGTGTGTCTGTGTGTCTACTGTCCACTCCACAAGATGTCTGCTGGCGAGACATCTCAGAGTCTCTCCCTTCCTCCCTGCCGCAATGTACAATACAATAAATCAAAGATTAGAAGCCTCGGGCAAGGGACACCTAGAACGTGGCCCCTTCCAGGACTCTCTTATCTGGCCCTCAGGACATTCGCTAGGCCAGGGTTAGCCAACGTGGTGTCTTCTGGGTGTTTAACTCCAACTCCCATCTGCCTCACCAGCAAGGGATGATGGGAGTTGTAGTCCAGCAACATCTGGAGGGAGCCTCACTAGTCCTGCTCTGGGCTCTCCTTGAGTGCTTTTGCCCTGCTGGAATGTACTTTCTGAACTGTGATCATGTCTCTGGGCTGCCTGCGGAAAGAGGTGTGTGCAAATGTTTGTGTATATATAGACACCTCTGACTTTTGCATGGCTGGAATGGAGTCTGCACTAGGAAAGGAAGACCAACACCTCTTTTGCCTCCACCCCTGCCCATTGCTGGCATGTGGCCTCTGCAAGGCTCCCCAAGAAGGAATGAGACCCTCAGCCTGGAAAAATGCTCCCACCCTGCGTTAAATTATTGTTCAGGATTAGGGAGTCCCATCCAGCTCCATCTTCTAATAAAAGCAGCTTCTCTACAGCCAATACACACAACCAGGAGATTTATTTTTAATACATATAAATTAAGAACGGAATGGGGCGAGTAGGGGAGGCATATTTTGCTAGGGAAAGCTCTGGGCACACCCACTAAAACTAACAGCCTTATGGCCGGGGTGATCTCAGCTCCCTGGTGAGAATTCTGCCGCCGGCAAATGTTTTGGGCGAGGAGTATTTTTTTGTTGGGGGGGGGATGTTATCCCACAATTGCTGCATGCAGGAATGGAGGATTATCCAAGAAACAATAGAAAATCCCTTTCCCTTGGCTTATGTTAACCGTCGCTGCTTTAATCTCGTCTTTCAATACATGGTGTTGGCTGCGATGAGGGTGGTGGTGGCTGGGATCCCTCATAAAAATAAACTGCGGTATGATTAAAAGGGGGGGGGAGAGAAGTAGATTCATTAGTGAGCTACAAATTTAGCTGCCAAAAGGACACATGCACACACACTCCACCCCCCAGAACATATGGAATGGCTGAGGAGGTGGGTGTTGCTGTGGAACATCTTATCCCAGGGAGGGAGGGGCACCGCGATCTTATTTGCAAAACAAGTCTCTTCCAGCACGCCCGTCTCTGCTCTGCTACAATTACTGTGTTGGTGGGTGGTTGATTAAACTAGATTATCAATGAAGGGACAGAATAATCCCACAGGGTTCCTGGCCTCCCCCCCCCCAACCCCACTTCAACTCAGAGAATGTCAAATAGCAGCTCTTGATGCACAGATGTTCTCCAGCCCTCTGCTAAGAAATGGCGCTGCTCTACAGCAAAAGAGCAAAGAATAGTCATGATTTCTGCAGCTGAGCTAACTTCGAAATTGCAGTAGCTACATTGGGCCATTAAAAAACAAAAACGAAAGCTAAGATTTCAGACGCTGCTAGAATCGGTTGCCTAAATTAGGACCCTTCGACCACAAGGTAACACTCCTCAGTTTGGCTCCTTGCGACAGTCAGCTAAAATTATTCTCCGGCGTTGATAATATAATGACTTTTTCATCTGCCCCTCCTTCAATCCTGTGCCTCTCACTTGCCTTTGAGAGAGATTCAAGTTAACAGCCGGCTATTATATTTTTAGGTTAAAAAAACAACAAGGCTGTTGTTTCTTGGCCAAGAGTGGTTTCGTTGCTATGATTTTAACAGAATTCCTACTTGCTTGAAAATGGTGATTCT